TCTCTCTCTCTCTCTCTCTCTCTCTCTCTCTCTCTCTCTCTCTCTCTCTCTGTCCCTTCTCTCTCTTTGTTACTCACTGACTTACTCACCCTTTTTCTTATTTGCTCATTTCACCTACTCATTCATTTTTATTGTCCAGTCCCTCTGTCTTGCTCATATTGTATTCAGCTTGTCACTCATTCGCTTGCTACTTCATTTACCATCTCATTTGCATATGCCCTTCGACCCTTTCCATATTGTCGCCAGCTTGCTCTGCCTCTCCCACCTGTCACTCTCTCCTTCACTTCTCTTTCTCTTCCTCACATTCATGCACTCCCTATTCTTCTTACTTATTCATTCCCTCCTCCTCCCCAAGTTCTCTCCTAAAGCCAGCCACCCGCTCACTCATCGTACAATACTGTGTCTTTGCTGGCCTCTTTTTTTTTTCTCCTTTTAAATTCTTTTCCTTTTTTCTTTTTTTTGGGGGGAGAGGGAAATGTTCCGCTTTTTTAACTCTATAAAGTGGTGAAAGTAAAACTGGACTATTTGGGCATATCAAACGCCATGATTGCACTGCTATCTAATATGATATTTGCCGAGTTAGCTAGTAAGCCAATGATGCCATCGCTTTTGGCCAGCAGGCTGTTGATGTTGCTGTTTATACCTTTTTAATTATTTTTTTTCTAACTGGTATGTGTGAGTTACCTCATTACCTGCTAAGATATAAGGTCGCTTTTAAGGACAAGTTGGTTAACCCAGATTTCAGGAGTTTCCCAAAATCTTGACCAACGCCAAAAGTGTGCTTTGCCCTACCTATAGGAGAGGTTTGGTTTCATTGGTGTGCATATTTGTTTGGTTATAGAGAAAACTCTCCTTGTCTGTTCAAGAAACTGAACAAGGGGCAAAAACTTTACCTTCAATTTTCTCAAAACAGCATTTTTCGGGATAGCCCCCTTGTGCTTTAAAGCGACCATATGTGTTGTATTGTGGTGAAATCAGGCACTGGACAAAATAATGAAATCAAAGAAACTGGCGTGTTTCTGCTTTCGGATATTTTTATCAATATTTTTTATTTTTTGCTCCACACCTTTTATGTTCATTTAAATACGCATTTTTGTGTGGGTTTTACTAAAAAAAACGATGATAAAATGCACGTTAAAAAAAATTTAATTTGCAGTTTCTGAAGACTCTCAAGTTTTGGAACTCATTACAACGGGAGCCGTTTTCTCATTATTATTTCTAACTCCAAGCAACAACAGGCTATCCCCACTTACTTCAGTCGCAAATATCTGGGTTTCTATTCGAGATGAATGGGTATGTTTGTTTTATTTTGAAGCAAGATAAATGAACAAGCTTTATGATGATTCCGATAACTTCATTTGTCGAGAAATTGATGATGGCCTGGTTCCACCGTGTCTTGACACATAATATCATTAGACCTATATGTTCAAAACACGTCTGGGGGTGGTGGTGGTTTTTAAAAAAATTAGAAGCAAGTAAGATTAACGAGCTTTAAGACAATACCTGATTCCACCACGTCTTGACACATAATGATATGATTATATGTTGAGTACATGTGTGTCAATGCAAAGTGTTTATATCCCCCTGTGTGTGTCTCATAATGATATGATTATATTTGTGTCAATGTAAAGTGTTTATATCCCCCTGTGTGTGTCTCTCCCTCCGCCAGCAAGCCAAGATGGAGCACCAGAGCCAGGTGGAGAAGTGTGAGCGTCTGGAGAGAGAGATGAACGACCTCATTACGACTGGCAAGGACAACACGGAGGTGAGGAGGAGAGGCAGAGCCGGGCGGGGGGAGAATGGCAATTCTGGGGGAAAGGGAGGGCACGTTTTTTTGTTTTGTTTTGGTTTTAGGAGGGGTGGGTGTTTTTTTGTTGGGGGAGAGGGGGGGTTCTCTTTTTTGTGGGAGATTCATGGGGGGGGGGATGAACAGGTGGAGAGGGAGTGGGGGAGAGATTAGTGAAAGTAGGATTTTTTTGGGGGGAAGGGGGACTAGTGAAGGAATGGGTAAGGGGTAAGGGTGTGGTGACAGGACCAGCAAGCGCGATTGATTTTTTTTTCCACTTGGTGGGGATGTTCAGGCTGCTCTATTTTTCTCTTCTTATTCAGTTTTGTGGATATTGTTCACGCATGTATATTATATAGTATATTGCAAGGGTCTTGAAGACAGGCATACACACATGAGAACATCTTTAGATGCTTTATGTGGGTGGGAAATGGGTAATCACACCCACACATGATCCTGTTCTGATTGACACTTTATGTCATTCCCTCTCTCTCCCTGTCTCTGTCTCTCTCTTTCTCTCTCTCTCTCTCTCTCTCTCTCTCTCTCT